GAGGAAGATCCATGGTTCAGGAAACATTGTACATAGTAGAATGAAGCCTCAGTTCCCTTCAAAGTAGTCACCTTGGGACCTCACCAAGGTCTCCCAATCGCTATCAGCTGCCCAGGTGTATTTTCCTGAATGTCATTGGCAGTCTGAAATCTGTTCTCTTCAAAGATGATTTTCATTTTTGGAAAAGCCAGAAGTTGCTGGGCACCAAATTTAGACTGTAGGGGGGTTGAGTCACCCGAGTGATTAATGGTTTGCCAAAAACTGTGCATGAGATGTGATGCATGAGTGGGCATATAGTCATGATGAAGCTGCCAATCACCAGTTGCCCATAGCTGCATTCTTCTGAATCATCTGAATAGTTTCCACAGAGGAATGTTCAAGCTTAACACAAAATTTAATGCCAATTTTTTGCTCTACTTACTTAGTCATTTTGAATGCAATGGCCAATCAGTACACATGCTCCCTCAGTGGTGTCTACCACTCCCACTGACGAATACACTGAAGTTGTCATTGTTCACACATGTGCATTCCAGTCCACACTCCTTGGCTGCCAGGTTACATGGATGTCACACAAACTATTCTTTTTATATTTACAGACCTTGTATGTTATATACATAAATGTAGATCATGGCATTTATGTTTTTTATATAGTGACATACACACACATACAGTCGTGCACAATATTACTGTTGGTCATGGTCAAAATGTGTCAGACCTTGTTTTAGAAAAATAAACCATTTTTGCTTGAAAAAATGGTATCTGTGTGTGGTCTCTGTCAGCTCAACTACTTATAAATATAGTGGTCCAGCCCTCTGGAAAATTCATACTTTGAATTGCTTATATGCTCTACTGCATTAGTGCTAGCACTCGGGGGTTCACACAGTGAGGATTTCTGAGGACAAGGCTCACTGGGGAGGAACTCAGGTTCCCATGAGTAAGGCACACCCCAGAGGCACACTGGTGGCAATCACTCAACTTATACCTGTTTATGGCTTCAGCCTTCCCCCAGGGTGTCTTTGATAGAGCCTTATGGTGCAGTTCTGGAATTTCCCCTCTGATTTTGTGTCCTCCCTCTGGATTGTGTGGTGATTCTTCTGGTGACACTCACCTGTCTGTCCTGGGTGGCTCAGAAACTGAGTCTGAGTCCTCCATCTTCTTTGTGGCTTGGCCCTTCCTTGTCTGCATGACACTGGACACTACTCTCTTTGCATATTGGCAAAGAGCTGCTGAGTTTAGATCATAGATGGAATGTGACCTTCCATGTCACCTGTGCAGAGGACACACCAGCCTGAAAGAGCCAGAGAGAGTCAGTAGACTGTGCTCTACAACAGACTACATTGGGAAGAGAGAAGACACAGGCACTGTAAAGCAGCAGGTACAGACAGGCATTAGGTTCACAGGGAGAAATTTCAAATCAGCAAGGTGGTAGTACATCAGCAGAAAGAGCAAAGACCAGGTCTGCCTGAGAGCTGACATGCCGGTACTCACCAAGTCAGTGTTTCTATTTATTTCTGTGACTCTGTTCATTCTGGGAATGCTGGGGAATGGTTTCATTGGGGTGGTCAATGTCAGGAGCTGGTTCATGAGCAAGAGAATCTCTTGGTCTGACTTCATCATCACTGCACTGGCTCTCTCCAGGATTGTTCTGCTGTGGATTCTCTTGGCTGATTCTGTAATAGTGGTGTTCTTTTTCAACATCTATATTTATGGTTCCTCTGGGGATATTATTCATGTTTTCTGGACATTTACAAACCATCTGAGCATTTGGCTGGCCACCTGCCTTGGTGTCCTCTACTGCCTGAAAATCGCCAGTTTCTCCCACCCCATGTTCCTCTGGCTCAAGTGGAGAGTGTCCAGGGTGGCCGTGTGGATGCTGCTGGGTGCACTGCTCTTCTCCTGTGGCAGTGCCATATCTCTGATTCCTCAGTTTCAGATCTGTTTTCTCCTCTGTGAAACTGCTGGTGCAGGGAATGTGACTGAGCACTTTGGAAAGCAAATGGGTGAATATCAGCAGATTCATGTGCTTAACATGCTGTGGTACATCCTTCCCCTAATTCTGTCTCTGGCCTCCTACATCCTGCTCATCCTGTCCCTGGGGAGGCACATGCAGCAGATGCGGCAAAGCAGAACCAGCCCCAGCGATGCAAGCACTGAGGCCCACAGGAGGGCCATCAGAATTATCCTCTCATTCTTCTTTCTCCTCCTGTTTTATTTTCTTGCCTTTTTAGTTGCTTCATCCAGTTATCTCCTACCAAGCAGTGAAATGGCTACTATAATTGGACAACTAATTACAATGCTTTATCCTGCTGGCCACTCATTCATTCTCATTCTGGGGAACAACAAGCTGAAGCAGACCTTTGTGGAGCTGCTCTGCTGTGCATGTGGTCATCTGAAGCCTGGGCCCAAAGGACCGCTTGCCCCATAGACTGGCAGAGGAGACTGGCGGGAGCCTGGGAGTCCTTTAGGTGGGCTCCAGACCACATGGCTCCTCCCCACCCTAATCAGGCACCAGTTCTGTGACATCAGTAGGAGAGAGACAGTACTGCTTACCTGTCCCACCCAAGGATGCTTTGCATGACCTCCCATTTGTGTGGTTATTTTTGAGACTGTAGAACAGCTTTTGGAAAATGTCAGTGTAGTAAGAACACCCTCAGTATGTGGACATGGGGTGGTATTTCAATAACTGTCAGCCCAATATAATGAGCTGATAACTAGCTTTTATGTGAAGTTTATACTGCCAGTGACAAGCCCATGTGAGTGAAACAGGGTAGTGAATTGTGGGACAGAGCAGAAGCATTGCAGTCCTCCAGACTGGGTTTGAACTGGCATCAGGCAAGGTATTCTAATCACCTGTGTGATCCTCTCGTCCCTCCCTTTAAAATGTGGGCTGTGACCCCAGCCTCACAGGGTTTTGGAGATCCACGAGACCATGTCTACCAACCTTTTAGTTCAGCGTATTGTGTAACGTGCTTAATTGGTGAAGATCCTATTGTCACTAACGGTGAATTGTGGAGCAGTTCCCTAGAAGACAGTTCCCACAGACCCATTGTGTTATCACACAATGGAGTGACAACTAGACCTTGGATACTGGGTTGCATCCCGTCTTGCAGCAGTGAAGTCATTCCCTTCCCTTCCAATTCTCCTTGTATTGCTTTGTCAATCTGGTAAAATAAATCATCTTTTTTCTGTTTTTTTCCCCCCGAATTCTAGTTATTTATTTATTTATTTATTATTTTTGTTCAAGTAGGGTTGTCTCCATTTCCACCCCACCAGTCTTCCCCACCCTACCCATCCCCTAGTAGGTTGCACAATCAAGTTTGTGATCAGCAAGCAACATTGGGAGAAATAGCGTATGATAGAGAATATCAGAGAGTCACACATGTGGGAAAAGGAAACATGGATTTGTGAAAATTTTGAGTTCCCCAGACCATACTTATTGTATACAAGGTCTGTCCAGAAGTTATCCAGCCTTGTAATATCAAAGACAGAGACATTTAATGCAGAAGGTACAAGATTGAAGAAACATTGTACATAGGACAATGATGCCTCCGTCCCCTTCAAAGTAGCCACCTTGGGACCTCACACAGCTTCTCAACTGCTGTCAACTGCTCAGCTGTATTTTCCTGAATCTCACTGACAGTCTGAAATCTGTTCTCTTCAAAGATGATTTTTTTGGAAGAGCCAGACATCACAGGGCACCAAATCTGGGCTGTAGGGGGATTGACTCACCTGAGTGATTTGATGGTTCATCAAAAAAACTCTGCACAAGATGTGACGCAGGAGTGAGCACATAGTCATGATGAAGCTGCCAATCACCAGTTGCCCATAGCTGCATTCTTCTGAATCATCTGAATAGTTTCCACAGAGGAATGTTCAAGCTTAATGCAAAATTTAATGTCAATTTTTTGCTCTACCTGCTTAGTGATTTTGAATGCAATGGCCACGCAGTACACATGCTCCCTCAGTGGTGTCTACCACCCCCACTGACTAGTACAGTGAAGTTGTCATTGTCCACACATGCCCATTCCAGTCCATTCTCCTTGGCTGCCAGGTTACATAGATGTCACACAAACTATTCTTTTTATATTTACAGTGGCTGGACTTTGTCCAGACAGACCTCATATGTTATATACATATATGCAGATCATGGCATTTATGTTATTTTTTATATAGTGACATACACACATGAAAGTCATACAAAATATTACTGTTGGTCATGGTGAAAAATTGTAAGGCCCTGTTTCAGGTAAGGAGCCTTCTTTGCTTCACAAGTGTGTGTGATCTGTGTGTGATCTCTGTCAGCTCAACTACATATAAATATAGTGGTCAAGCCCTCTGGCAAATTCATACTTCGAATAGCTTATATGCTCTACTGCATTGGTGCTAGCACTCAGGGGTTCAGATAGCCAGGGTTTCTGAGGACAAGGCTCACTGGGGAGGAACTCCAGGTTCCTTCGAGTAAGGCACACCCCAGAGGCACACTGGTGGCAATCACTCAACTTATACCTGTTTATGGACTTTAGCCTCCCCCCAGGATGACTTTAATAGAGCCTTATGGTGGAGTTCTGGAATTTCCCCTCTGATTTTGTGTCCTCCCTCTGGATTGTGTGTGTGACTCTTTTGGTGACACTCACCTGTCTGTTCTGGGTGGCTCAGAAACTGAGTCTGAGTCCTCCATCTTCTCTGTGGCTCGGCCCTTCCTTGTCTGCATGACACTGGACACTACTCTCTTTGCATATTGGCAAAGAGCTGCTGAGTTTAGATCATAGATGGAATGTGACCTTCCATGTCACCTGTGCAGAGGACAGACCAGCCTGAAAGAGCCAGAGAGAGTCAGTAGACTGTGCTCTACAACAGACTACATTGGGAAGAGAGAAGACACAGGCACTGTAAAGCAGCAGGTACAGACAGGCATTAGGTTCACAGGGAGAAATTTCAAATCAGCAAGGAGGTGGTGCATCAGCAGAAAGAACAAAGACCAGGTCTGCCTGAGAGCTGACATGCCGGTACTCACCAAGTCAGTGTTTCTATTTGTTTCTGTGACTCTGTTCATTCTGGGAATGCTGGGGAATGGTTTCATTGGGGTGGTCAATGTCAGGAGCTGGTTCATGAGCAAGAGAATCTCTTGGTCTGACTTCATCATCACTGCACTGGCTCTCTCCAGGATTGTTCTGCTGTGGATTCTCTTGGCTGATTCTATAATACTGGTGTTCTTTTTCAACATCTATATTTATGGTTCCTCTGGGGATATTATTCATGTTTTCTGGACATTCACAAACCATCTGAGCATTTGGCTGGCCACCTGCCTTGGTGTCCTCTACTGTCTGAAAATCGCCAGTTTCTCCCAACCCATGTTCCTCTGGCTCAAGTGGAGAGTGTCCCGGGTGGTCGTGTGGATGCTGCTGGGTGCACTGCTCTTCTCCTGTGGCAGTGCCATATCTCTGATTCCTCAGTTTCAGATCTATTTTCTTCTCCGTGAAAGTGTTGGCACAGGGAATGTGACTGAGCACCTTAGAAAGCAAATGGGTGAATATCAGCAGATTTATGTCCTTAACATGCTGTGGTACACCCCTCCCCTAATTCTGTCTCTGGCCTCCTACCTCCTGCTCATCCTGTCCCTGGGGAGGCACATGCAGCAGATGCGGCAAAGCAGAACCAGCCCCAGCGATGCAAGCACTGAGGCCCACAGGAGGGCCATCAGAATTATCCTCTCGTTCCTCTTTCTCTTCTTGTTTTATTTTCTTGCCTTTTCAATTACTTCATCCAGTTATCTCCTACCAAGCAGGGAGATGACTAAGTTCATTGGACAACTAATTACAATGCTTTATCCTGCTGGCCACTCATTCATTCTCATTCTGGGGAACAACAAGCTGAAGCAGACCTTTGTGGAGCTGGTCTGCTGTGCGTGTGGTCATCTGAAGCCTGGATCCAAAGGACCGCTTGCCCCATAGACTGGCTGAGGGGACAGGCGGAGTCTGGCCTTCTTCTGTCTGGCTGAAGAATACAAGGCTCTTCCTGACCCTTCCGAGGCACCAGTTCTGTGACATCAGTAGGATAGAGACAGTACTGCTGACCCGACCCACCCAAGGACTCCCTGCATGGCCTCCTTTCTGTGGTTGTTTTGGAGAAGGTAGAACAGCCTTTGGAAAATATCAGTATAGTAAGAACACCGTCAGTATGTGGACATGGAGTTATATTTCCACAACTGTCAGCCCAGCATAATGAGCTGATTACTAGTGTTTATGTCAAGTTTACACTGACTGTGACAAGCTGGTGAGAATGAAACAGGGTAGTGAATTATGGGACAGAGCAGATGCATTACAGTCCCCCGGCCTGGGTTTGAACTTGGCCTCATCTGAACTTTTATCACCTGTCTGATCCTCTCGTCCCTCCCTTTAAAATGTGGGCTGTGACCCCAACCTCACAGGGTTTTGGAGATCCACGAGTGAGTTAACATGAAAAGTCCTTGAAGTCCCACATGGAGTAAAAACACTCAATGAATATTGCTCTTGTCATTGCTGTTATTTAGTTCAATATTTTAGGTCAGTGTGTTGTGTAACGTGCTCAATGAGCGAAGCTCCTGTTGTCGCTAACGGTGAATTGTGCAGCAGTTTCCTTGAAGACACTAGTTCCCACAGACCCACTGTGTCATCACACACTGGAGTGACAACTAGACCTTGGATACTGGGTTCCATCCAGTCTTGCGGCAGTGAAGTGATTCCCTTCCACTCCAGTTGTCTTTGCATTGCTTTGTCATTATGCTAAAGTAAATTTTCAAGTAATTTTTTATTTTTTAGATTAGACCAAAGTACAAGCGTTTTATTAATGACCCAGATTGATATCTGCTTTTTAAAATTTCAGAATTTTATTTAAAAAATAATATGAGTCCTTCTTATAAGCAGTTAATCCCCTTTACCATAATAAAATTACATAGGCATTGATTTACCTCCTGTCACTGAAGGGGGGTGACAACTCAGTGAGCACGTTAGTGCTTCAGAATCATCAAGAATTCTCAGACCCGTGAACATACTCAGGACACATGACAATTGTGAATCTGGGTTTCTGTCAGTAATGGGCTCTGCGGTGGGAGGTTGTTGCAGCAGCAAGGTGGACTCTGAGAGCCTGGGTTCACATCCTGAGCCCTGCCTGATGGACTGGGTGACTTTGGGGAAGCTCCTTGACCTCTCTCTACTACCCTTTCCTCATGTGTGAAGTGGGAATGGTACTTTGTAGGTAGGGTTGTTGGAGGGAATGAGTGAGTTAAAATGAAAACTGCTTGAAGTCCCACATGGTGTAAAAACACTCAATGAATATTGCTCTTGTCATTGCTGTTATTTTGTTACATGTTGACATGGCGTGAAGGATCAGCACATCACTGGGATTTAGTTATGTGTGACCAGAAATTAATTTTAGGATTGTTGTGGAATTTATATACTCATTTCTAAAATTTCAGGAATAAAGATCTTTTGGTCAAAACTGTGTGCTTCCTATTGATAGTAGTCCCTTGGGTGTTGGGCTGGTGGGTTAAGCAGCACCCACGGGCCAAGAAGCTCATTCTGGAAGCCCCAGGAGACAAGGACCTGACACTTGTCCGCCACCACAAAGTAGAGTTAATCTTGTCCTTCTCCCCATACACCTGAGCCCTCGCTACAGGAGAGAAGCAGGGCATGGAGAGGACGTCTCTGAGATTTCTCTTTTAGATCTGTAGAGTCTGAAGATTTTTCTGAAAACATTCTTCACATGCTCTCATTGGGTTAAACAGTCCCCTCCCCCGCCCCAGGCAGTAGGTGAGGACTCAGGACATAAACCTCATTATTGTAGACAAAATTCAGACCCTTATTTTCCCTGCACATTTCTGAGTTGGCAGAGTTAGTACATTTCATTGACTTTGCTATAATTAAATTGTCATTGTGACTTGGTGGAAATGGCCAGGTGATCAGAGCAACATTCTTCCAGGTTAACCCTGGGAAATATGTTTTCAGAAGTTCATGGGTGACCTTTCTCAGCATGTTCTGTCTGGCCTTGATGTCTGTTTATTGCCAGATAGGGTACTTTCCAGCCAGAGAGGGATGATGTGTGAATTATTCGTGGTTGCTCAAGGCTGTGCCCCTACTGCCCAGCTGGTAGAGCTCCTGGAGAAAGGAATGGCTTCTGGTTTGCTGCTGCAACAAGAGCTCTGGTCCCAGCTTCTCTTGAAATTGGTTTATCCATTCACAGCACAGATATTCATCTAACACTTTGCACCAAGCACTATACTAGATCACTTCCTCTTTTCAAAATCGTCCTATTAGTGGGCAAGAAACACGCAGACGCAAGTGTTTCATTTCTGCACCATTGAAACAGATGCTTCCCCCAAGAGGAAGGGAACATATATCTTGTCACAGAGGATCCTGGCTCAGGTGACGTTTGTGTCCAGCTCCCTGTTGTGGCAGCCATGCAAATGTGTTGCTCAATTCCCCTGCAGTGGGGCACATGATTGATGGATGATGCCAGCTGCTGAGATCCACCACTTTGAGGCCACAGGTCCTGCTGGCTGCTCTCAGCCTGTGATGGGGCCCTGTGGGCTACGAAGGCAGGTCTATTCCCCCGAGACATGAGACCCTTCCAACAGGCAGTGTTGGCCCAAGGACTCTCCATGAGCTTGGCGGAATATTCTGAGGGACTCTGCTGTAGCCTGGGACTCTCCCTACCGAATTCTTCCTTCCTCCTTCCTTTTTTACAGGTGTTGTACCTACTTTACTGCCCGAATACTCTGCCCACCTCCTCTTCCTCCCTACCACCTACAGTCTTTTGAAAACCTAATACCGTTTCAGCCTGTGCTTCTTGTCACTAAAAGATGTTTTCTTTAGATGCATAAGAATTCTAGAAATTGTCCCAGATTCTTCCTTCTCCTTCAGATTCAATATTTATCTTCCACGTCTATTTGGCTACTAGATCCATTTGGTTGTACTTTGTAAACACTTCTCTCAAGTGTCCTGCAGTCTCGATTTCTACCCTTCAATTCATCAGAGGGACTGCAACAGGATTCTGACTAATTTCCTATTTCCAATTCCATCCCTTTCCAGCAAAACCTTTCTAAGTTACTTGGATTATGTTCTTCATACAGTGAAAAGACATCATAATACTCCTCTCTTAAAGTCTTGCAATGCTCTTTATTGCTTTGGATAAAGCCTAGACTTCTTGGCTTGGAACATAAAGCCATTCCTCACCTGGCCCTTCTTTTCCTATCTAGATTCATCTTCCCATTTTTTACTTTTTGAAAAGAGCCTTGAAGTACTTCATCAAGCTAAGCCAAGTCATTCTTTTGCTTTGACTCTTAGCCGTTAAGGTTTCCCTGCAGGGAAGGGTAGGAGCTCCCCTAAAACAAAAACTTGCTTTACAAAAGGAGTCACTGCTTCTAGGAGTGATTTCACAGACATAGCCTCTGGGGTTGAGCCAAGGGACAAACACGTAAGAAGAGCCACCACTTTCAGGGAGGTCAGAGGCAGGGATCTTCATGCGATATTTACATTCCGCTGAAGGTCCAATGCTCATGCAGAGGAAGACAGGATTTTGACACCTTTCCTATGTTGACTCTTTCAGAAATGACTTCTGACCGAACCAGCTTACCCAACTGATCATGCTAATGACGCGGTCACATCAGAATTGTAGTCTCCCCGGCTACTGAGAACCCAAAACGTGGTGTGTCACACTCTGAAAGCAGTCGGTTACTGCCCATGGTGGGTCCCCTCCACTTGGGGAACATTTAATTTAATATTTTACTTTATATTATTCATTTTAGCTAAATGTGGTATTTGTAATATTTCAACTTCACTATTTTAGAGCAGTAGTCTATTTTACACATAATTAAGTGGAAATATGTGCTCTGTGACATGTATACTCTTCCCTTTAATCAGTGCCTTGCTGCTCCCTCTGTGTAATGCCCCTGTCAGTGCCCCTTAGTTTTGTACCAAGAGCTCTTTGTCCAAAGACCAGCTGGGCTCCAGCCCAAGGGAATTCTCCAAGGCTTGCCTTCTAGTCATCTGGGTGGAAGGGCCTCATGAATTTATTGTCCCTCCTGGACCGAGTAATCTTCACATCTTACCTCCTTCTTTTCACCTTTTCCTATTTGCTTTGGTAACAGGACTTTGGATGCTTTATGATGCTGGTTTGGTGACCTGGACTGGTTCGTGCAGGGTTGCGCCGTGGTTTCACCTGACTGCTACAGTAGACAAGAGATGCCAGACTCTTGCATTCACTCGGGGTTTTCAATAACATCATTTGCTCAAAATAGTGTATCCTTTCTTCCCTGAGCCATTACAGAGAAATCAGGCAATGAGATGCCTGTGTATTTGGCCCACAAAACTGTAACTAAAGTGTTACTGTGCATCTGGTACCAGAGCACTTTGACTGGCAGTTAAGTGCCTAAGATGGAATAGCCATGCGCGAGTGAAGCATAAACCCAGACCTACAAAGGAAACGTGAAATGGTTGGTAGTTCTTTTCCAAGAGAAAGCAGGTTGCAGCAGATGAGTATGACCCTAACCCCTATATGTGACTGGGGAGGGAATGCAGAGTGAGAATCATCCCGAGAGGATAGAATTAATTGAAAAAGGCTTTCTCAAGGAGGCGTCAGGTCTTTGGACTTGATCTGTTAGATAACTGTCAATCATTGTAGGTGCTAAGGGATGAAAGAGGACTATTGGCATGGCCAGAATGACCATGTGACATGAGCAGATCAGAGGGTAGAGAAAAGGTGGGTTCGGGCAACTTGTGGGTGTGTGGATGGGGGTGGATGCGATGGGATGAGGCATTTTCTGGGGTTGCTGTGAAGAAAAGCTGCCTTCACTGTGGTACAGTGACCGAAACAGTGCTGGTCGGGAACTCTGTCACTTGGGTTTGATGTCCTTGGAGCTTGCCGATACTGCCCCTTCAGCTGTCCTTCTCTTGGAGGAGTGGGCTCCCAGGTTTACCCAGGCTGTTTGAATTAGGCATTTCTGAGGAAAACAGGACGCCAGTGAAGAGAGAGTAATGTGATCCTCGGAAGATTTGCATCTCAGTAAAAGCAGCTGGCTCTTAGCCCACTAATGGCTCATTTGCCACACTGGGGAAAAGGAAAGAAGGAAATGTTCCTTCTGGCTGGATACCGGTGCCTCCTTGTGCATTTCAGTATTTCTCCTGTTCCCAACATCAGCACCACATCCGCTCAACCCGCAAGGAGAGATGGTGCCGGAAATACTCTTTGTTGTTATTGTCTCAGCAACTTTGAATTTTGTAGGACTCATTATGAATCTGTTTATTGCAGTTGTCAGTTGCCAGACTTGGGTCAAAAGGCATCAAATCTCTTCTTCTGAGAAGATCCTGTTCAGCTTGGGCACCGCCAGATGTCTTACGCTGTCACTGTCTCTCCTGTCTATCCTGTACCTCTTCATCTCTCCACGTGTCGGAAGGTCAGCCAGCCTGTTTGCTGTCATGCTGTGTTGGGTGTTTCTGGACTCCAGCAGTCTCTGGTTTGTGACCATGCTCAACGTCCTCTACTGTGTGAAGATTACTAACTTGCAGCACTCAGTTTTTCTCCTGCTGAGACAAAATATCTCCTCAAAGACCCCGAGGCTGCTGGTGGCCTGCGTGCTGGTTTCCGCCTTCACCACGCTTCTGTATGCTGTGCTCAGACAGACGCTGCGGTTTCCTGAATACGTGACCAGGAGGAATGGCACAGATTTCAGCGTCAATGAGCGCATCTTGTCTTTGGCGATCTCTTTGTTCTTGAGCTCATTTCTCCAGTTCCTCATTAATGTGACTTCTGCTTCCTTGCTAATAAACTCCTTGAGGAGACACATACAGACGATGCAGAGAAGCGCCAGTGGCTTTTGGAATCCCCAGACTGAAGCTCACGTGGGCGCTATGAAGCTGATGGCCTATTCCCTCCTCCTGTACATCCCCTACTCCGTGGCTGCCCTGTCCCTCCACCTCCCGTCTTCTGTAGGGATGAATCTGGGAACCAGGTCCGTGTGTGTGTTGCTCTCCGCTGTTTACCACCCAGGACATTCTGTTCTCATTACTGTCACACATCCTAAACTGAAAACAAAAGCAAAGAAGATTCTGTGTTTCAACAAATGGTGGAATATCAGTAGGGAATAGTGGCTGCAGTCACTTCATAGTTGGGAGCAAGATTGTTCTTTGTTAGCGGCTTCACCATCAGTCTGAGGGCGTCCTTTTTGTAATTGCTGATATGGTCTTAGGCTGTGTAGAAGTCAGAGCAGCAATTACATCTGCCTGTAGTTCAGTTGATTTTTCAAAATTTTTGCTAATATTTTTAAATTAGGCACTTTCTATTAGGAGTTTGTTTGGGGTATCTTTTATCAGCTACTGAAGTATAATGGGAAGTTCCCCCAAATGAACCAATACATTGTAGTTCATGTGTGTAGTGTTAAGCCCTGACCGTTGTTTATCTTTTTTTTTGTACTTCAAGTTCTTGACTTAAGCTCTTTTCTTCTTTTTTTAAAATTGAGGTGTCATTGCTTATTAACATTATATAAGTTCCTGGTGTACCATATGGTAATCCACTGTCCGATACACTGTAACGTGCTCAGCACCAAATGACTAGTTCTCATCTGTGAGCAAATACTTGACCTGCTTTACCCATTTCAACCTCCCACACCCCCTGCCCTCCGGTAACCTCCAGTCTGTTGTCTGTACCCATGAGTTTGTTGTGTTGTGTTTGTTTGTTTGTTTCTTTTTTGTTTTATATTCTGTGTACCAGTGAAATAAGACAGTTTTCATACTTTTCCACCTGACATATTTCACTTAGCATAATATCCTCAAGGTCCATCCATATTGTTGCCAATGGCAATATTTCATCCTTTTGATGGCTGAGTAGTATTCCATTGTATGTATGTACCACATCTTCATTCTACATTCACCTGTCGATGGATACTTCATTGTTTCCATATCTTGGAAAACAGTATGGAGATACTTTAAAAAAGTAGAACTACCAAATGATCCCCCAATCCCTTTTGTGTGTATTTATCTGAAGAATGTGAAAACAAAAATTTGAAAACATATGTGCATCACTATATTCATTGTAGCATTATTCAAAGTAGCCAAGATGTGGAGACAGCCTGCCTTCAGCTTGGACTGCAAGGTGTCCACTTCAGCGAATAGCTACGTCGCTAGTCACACAACTAGATGGAGAGCCAGGCCACCTCCCTCACGGAGGCTCCTTACTTTTAGAGGTCTTGGTTCATTTTAGTACTGATCATTGGGGCCACATTTTTTTCTTTTTCTGCACTTTAAATTCCCACTCCTGTGTTTTAAATTCACCCATAAGGAGTGAACGCTCAGAAACCCTATGCCCCCACCGCTCAACCTCAGTGAAAGCAGAACCCTAGGTCCATTCTCTCTCTCTCTCTCTCTCTCTCTCTCTCTCTCTCTCTCTCTCTCTCATTCTCTGCCTGTGACCTTGCTGTGTGACCCCAAGTGTCCTATGTTACTTCCAGGTTCTCTGAGTAATAAACCTTTATCAGTGCAAAGTTTCTTGCTGGTTTTTCCTAAAGGATGTGTCTTGCAGTCACAATAAGAACTCAACTGCCTGTCCAGCCACAGTATTGGTTATCGATAGGCTGAGACCAGCACACAATGTTTTAGTTAAATTTTTGAGGTTTAGCTGAGGTGTCTTGGGTAAGGACTCAGCACTGGGGGTCATTGGATTGGCGGAAAACATCACTAGAGAGTCCAAAGCAGAAAGGGCAAAAGGGAACTTTCAGAGAGAAATTGGAGCAAAGAAAAAAGTGAAAAAAAATAGGTGTACATTGTGGCTGATACACATAAAAATTGTCTTCAGCTTTCTGGTGATAGTAACTGAGCTATGCATGTATGAATACTTATACATACACACACATACATATATACACACATATACACACACACACTTGCACACACACACACACACATACATACCATATCTTCTTTATCCATCTGTCGATGGACACTTTGGTTGTTTCCATGTCTTGGAAAACAGTATGGAGACTGATTTTCTAGTTTTTTTTTCTAGAAGGAAGGGAAGGATCAGAGTTGCTAGATGGAGGGAAGTGATTAGCATTAGAGAAGCCCAGTCCAGGATAGTTCCAAGCATCTTAAAATCCAGGTAGCTAGCCTAAGGTCAAGGTGAAAAGCAAGTTCCAGAGAGTGCCCTTCTAGTTACTTGATGGGTTGCTGACCAGTTCGTGACTCTCTTAATTAAAGCCAATTAGATCTTCAAATTTAGAAAAAGCAAGTTCCAAATAGTGGCATTAGCACAGCCTGTGTGCAGCTTCACCGAAGATCGCGCCTCAGCCTGGGATGATGGGATCTAGAGGGAGCCGCGTGGGGCCGTCGGGCTGCTGGCGGGAGTGCCTGACTTTGGGCGAGTTCGCACCATCCCGTTCTGCAGTCGTGCACTGAGTCGTGTGGGCACTGCGCATGCCCGGGGAGAACCCGGGTGTTCTTTTCTTAGTTGGGGCGGCGGCACTGTGGCTCCCGAGGAGCAGGAGTGCGGAGACGGAATATCGGTAAATTTTGGAATGGGGATTGGGGAATAATAATTTATACAGTTTTTCGGTGTGTATAAAACACTCATATAATATTTTTAGGCCTTCAGGTAAATAGTCTTATTAAAATAACCTTCTCTTTATTAACAACAAAAGAGAAATCAGCACATTTTACAACTTACCTGAATTTTTTCACTGTGGCCTCTAGAATCCTGACTGCAATATTTAGCAAGGATTGCCCAAACCAATATTTTATACTAGGAAACTTGGAGGTACTCTTACTTTTAGAATCTTAGCATTAGGAGATAAAGGATTACTCAGAGCGATGAGCTCCCGTTGTGACATGAGAACTCCACGTGAGTAGCAGAAACCTCATGGTTCCCCAGGATCTGGAATCTTCCCCTCTCTGCCGTAGTAACGGCTTTCCAGCTACCCAGAATTTTGGCAGCCGATTGCATCGTGCAGCTTTCTCTTATAAGTAGGTGTTGCCATGTGATCAAGTTCTGCCAACAGACTATGAGCAGATGTGATGTATAATTTTTAGGGGACGACCCTGTACAGTTATGTCCTTCCTTCCCCTTTTGCCCTTTCTTCTTCCTGCCTGCTGGACAGTAACGATTGGTCATCTTGGACCGTGCAGGTGAGGTGACCATCTGGATTTGTGGAACAATTACCTATCCTAGAATTGGTGCCATAGTTCCTGGCACTGTGGAGCTGTCACCCCAGCTCTGGACTCTTGGCATCTTATTTGTAGGATTGGTCATGAGAGACAGACGTCTCCATTCTTTCGGTCCCTGTCTTTCTCTTGCCTTACAAATAAATTATGCTATACCATAATTACATATGGTAACATAGCTCTTCATGATGAAGCAGTTTGTAGTTTATTGTCCTATAGTCAAAGAACATTTTCATATGACTTGTGAGAATACTTGTGTTTTAATACTTGTGATAAGAGAAATAAAGATAAAAACATGTATATGCCATATGATACCAATATTTGTAAAAAATATGTATATCGAAAGAAAATTGCAAAGAGCAATTTATCTTCAAGTGGAAAGTTTTGAGCAATGTTTTTTACATTTTCTAAATTTTCTAGGATGAACATATATTTCTTCTATAATGAGAAAAACCATGTACTTTAAAATATGCATGGTACATAAATATCTGTCTTTTTGTCTGTCTGTAGGTCTTCCTGCAGGTCTGTTTAAAGGGCATGTAGGGTGTCCTGATCTTAACACCCAGTCTCTCCTGTGTAGGAGAGGCCAAGTGAACACCCTTTCTTCTGGTTAGCCTGCACTCTTTCTCTCGTGTTGGCAACATTCTGCTGTTTCATTTATTGATCATCCCACATTATTGTTTCCCCCATTGGGGCCGGATGTGCTGTTTTTCCATGAGGACTTGTATTAGCACTGTTTTTGCTGTTTGAAGGAAGTCTTGAGTCTTTGTTTTTTGTGGATTGTTTTTGTTTTTTGAATTTTAAAAGTTATTTTATTGTCATTCAAGTACAGTTGTCTACCTTTTCCCCCACCACTCCCCCGCAACCCACCCAGGCATCCCAAACTCCCTGCCCTGATTCCAGCCCCCTTCCCCCATGGTTTTGTCTACGTGTCCTTTGTACTTCTTCCTGAAAACCCTTCTCCCCTTTGCCCCATTGTCCCCTCCCATTTCCCCTCTGCTTGCTGTCAGATTGTTCTTACTTTCAATGTCTCTGGTTATATTTTGCTTGCTTATTTGTTTTGTTGATTAGGTTCCACTTATAGGTGAGATCATATGGTATTTCTCTTTACCACCTGGCTTATCTCACTTAGCACAATGCTTTCCAGTTCCATCCATGCCGTCGCAAAGAGTAGGAGCTCCTTTCTTTTTGCTGCATAGCATTCCATCGTGTAAATGCACCATAGTTTTTCAATCCATTGAGTCTTTGTTTAGGCGCTGGCCCCAAGTTCTCCTTGGGCACAGTTTTAGTGATACTGTGGGTGTGGGTTTGGAGTTTTGCTGGTTCCAGTGTGCCTTGCCATGAAATACTTATTCACCAGAAATTAAAAAAAATCGGAGTTTGTTTCTTCAAGATATGATAACTTGTAGGCTCTCTAATGCTATAGTCACTGCCTGGTGAGGCAGGGAGGGGACATTTAGAACTCTCTAATAAGATGAGACGCTTTTTGAAATGAAGGGGGGGTGCCAGGGCAGTGTCCTGAGACAGTGTCATGAGACCCTGCGGAAGCTCTGACTCTGGGGCATTGCCATTAACTTTTAATTGCTGCTGGCGCAGTGTTGTCTTAGCTATATTTTCCCATGTTATTTTATTGATTTCTTTTTGCAACTTCTTTGACAGTGTAGGTATTATTATACCCATTATGCAGCTGAGAAAATCGAGACAGGATAACTAAATGGCTCATTATAGTAAGTCTAGGAAGGGGGTAGAGCCAAGGCCCCAGTTCATCCTCTGGCTCTAAAATCCAGTCTTTTCCTATCATGTCAGGAGAGGTTGAGAGACATGGGGATGGAGTAGCATCATGCCCAATAATAAAGCTTTATTTTCTTGAGGAAGAAAATATTCAATATGATGTCCAAAGCAGGATTTGTCCAGCCTAAAAACCTACTCAGGGCTAC